GTAAGGAGGAAAATGAGAAAGAGGCGAGGCGTCAAGGGAGCATGGCTTGTGGAGGCTACGCAGCCGACGTCATGCCCTCTCCTACCCTTCTATTCTCCATGGCTTTATGGAAGTAGTCAAAGCAGGGTTGCCAGACAAGCAGCAACGTTTAAGATGGCGGAATTTACCATTTTTCGCGTTAAAAAAATACTTAACCTATCGCAACAAAACTGGTGGCTATGGAAAAGTAATCATTTATACCTTGTGTAAATTATTCAAGCACCTTAATGGGCTCTTATGACCTGAGTTAGGAAATAAAACGACCCTCTGCCCCATAGACTCCCAGCAAAATTTAGCAATTAAATGGCGCCCATGTCCCGTGATCCCCGATCTAGCAGTTGCACCTAGGGGTGTCGCGAACTTTTGTCGAACCAGATTTTTTGGTCGAACTTTCGGGGTTCGACTGGGTCGAACCGGTTCGACGAACCTTCGACCTTTTCGCCAGATTCGACCGGTTCGACTTTGTGGACAGTGTGGCCAGCCCTTGATACAAGCATGTCTAGGTTTGGAGATTTTTTTTTTATGCAAAGGGTTATTTTATTTTGTGAACAGCTGCAATTAAAAGAAACTAAATCTAATCACTGAAGAAGTTAATAACTTAATTTTTAAGTTATTAACTTCTTTGTGACTAATGAGATGTCTCCGATCACACTCCAAGTGGAAGGGATTAGAAAGCTTTTAAATGAACTTGATGTAAGCAAGGCAACAGGCCCCGACAACATTTCTCCTTGTATTCTGAGGTCATGCTCTGGAGTAGTCTGCCTGTATTTTTATGTTCTTTTTGAAAAATCTTTAGATACATCATCATTACCGTCAGATTGGAAGTTTGGTCGGGTGGTCCCGATACACAAGGGTGGCCCAAGGAACGTGGTCACAAATTACCGTCCGATTTCACTAACTAGCATCGCTTGTAAGGTAATTGAGCACGTTTTATATACAGGCATAATCCATCATGTAAATGCCTCGGGAATACTACATTCCTCCCAGCACGGCTTTCGTCAAGGCTACTCGTGTGTGACACAGCTAACAGAGTTTGTACATGAATTGGCAGGTGCTCTTGATGGCCGTGATAGCGTTGACTGCATTTTTCTTGATTTCAGCAAGGCGTTTGATGTTGTCTCCCATGACTTGTTAATTGCGAAACTTCACGGTTATAAAATTGATAAGAAAGTGGTATATTGGATACGCGAATATTTGTCTCTCCGTAAACAATATGTTGTGCTAAATGGCTGCCAGTCCGAATTTGCTGACGTGACATCAGGAGTCCCGCAAGGGTCCGTCCTTGGGCCGCTGTTGTTTATGCTGTACTTGAATGATATCGTGGGTGTTGTGTCATCACCAATGCGTCTCTTTGCAGACGATTGTGTTGTTTATCGAAAAATACGAGCGAGTGATGACGTCGACATTCTACAGGCAGACATAAATGCAATTACCGATTGGTGCAAGCTGTGGGAAATGAATATTAATTTTAAGAAAACTGTCCACATCCCATTTACGAGACGGCGTGTTCCGTCCCTCAGTACTTATACCATTAATGACGAGCCACTCACTGTTGCCTACGAATACAAATATCTTGGTGTATTCCTAACCTCGACCCTAAGTTGGAGTAAGCACATTGACTATACTGTCTCTAAAGCCTCGAGAATGCTTGGCTTCCTCGCTCGTAACTTTAAGCCTGTACCACGTTCCTTGAAAGAGAGACTTTATTTTTCGCATGTCCGCTCAATTTTAGAATATGCCTGCACTATATGGGATCCTCACACTGCTGTCCAGATAATCAAACTTGAAAAAGTACAAAACCGGGCTGCCCGTTTTGTTTTAAACAATTACGACAGGCGACTTAGAATGACTCGTGCGAAACAGAGCCTAGGATGGAAGGAGTTAAGCTTTAGAAGGAAGAACCTTCGACTGAAATTTTTTAATAACATATTTCACTGTAGGACTGGGATAGATAGAAATGCCTACCTTCACCCGCCAGATTACATATCGCAACGAAAAGATCATGTGTATAAGGTCAAGGAATTCCGCTGTAAAAGTGACGTCTATATGAACTCTTTTTTTCCTAAAACAATACGGGATTGGAACGGTTTGCCAGCCTCGGTGGTCAACATTGTTCCTAACGATATGTTTTATTCAACACTAACCTCGTAGTGTCTAGTTAGTAGTTGAGTAGCGTTCGGAGTGTTTAGTAGACTGCATTTTTTTATTTTTTATGTAGCCTGCACTTTGTTGTGATACTGAAAGATTTATGGCTTGTGAATATTGCTCTTTTAACTTTTGTATAACTATTCGTGTTCTTCATTTCCAACTTCTCCCCCCCTACTGTAATGCCCCATGGCGCTGTAGGTATCTGAATAAATAAAAAAATAAATACTGTATTAACTGAAACAGCCAATCAGCGCTGCACTTAATTCATCTCTTAGCCATTACCATCCAATCCGAAGCCAACGAGCCAGCCTGACGCGCATGCGCACACGAGTCGAACCTCGATACAAGGTTCGTCGAACTTTCCACTAAAAGTTTGAAAAAGTCGAACCTGGTCGAACTCGAACCGCGGCCGGTTCGCGACACCCCTAGTTGCACCCACCCTCACTTGATAGCATCTTCGATCAACTCGCACCGGAATCGCACTGAAACCAGCACAGTGCACAGCGCTCCTCGGTCGTGCAGCGCGATGTCGGTGCAACATCGAGGACAAACTGCGCCGCGCCGGTGCACCGCGGCGAGCTCCACCTTGCGTCACTTCGCGTTTTGTTCGTTTATTTTGCGTAGGTCAGCGCACGGTGCCCGTCTGCTGTCAATTTCTTATATTTTTTACTCGCGGATTTGACGGTCCCACAAAAATAAACATCCTGGACGTGATTGTCGATGGGGTCACGAAGCGGGTGACAATTCCACATGTATATGTTGGCCATCCATTATTAGTTCAAGAAAACGAAACACCAGATAATAGCCGTACCTCGCTGTCATCGAAACGCCTCGCGCCGCTTTCCACGAAGTTCGTGCTTTTCGGGCGCTCCTTGCCACCACAGCAATCGCCAGTAATCGCGGCGATGGCGAGAAGCTCGTCGTCTCGCCGTCAGAAGACCCGAGGAAATCATCTAGTGCAGCTGCGAGGCGTGTTCGTTTTTGCAAGATCGCCATCTCGATAGTCTGCGCGTCTGCTACTCCCGCCATCTTCTCGATTCCCGCTCCTGGCCGCAATGCCTGATGGGACTGCCCCCCGGCGCACCGCCGATTTTCTTGGTGCACGTTGGGGCAACGAAAAGCCGCACCGGGAGGGTGCGCTTCGTTGATCGAAGACGTACGGTGCGCACCGGTGCACTTGATCGAAGATGAATGGGCGCACCTCAGTGCCCCGGTGCGCACCGGTGCGGATGATCGAGGATGCTATGAGCCTCCCTAGAAATGACCCGTGGACATACCCGCCACCAAGCGGTGGAAAAGGCGGCGCCTACTAGAAATGAGTAGTGGGATCAGGCGCCGACACGGAAAGGTCCCGGACGTACGCGGCGGCGCTGCGGTCGTATGGGCAGGAGGATCCGACCGGCTCCGAGCGCTCCGAAGCCTTTCGGCGAGAAGCTTTGTCTTGCGGTTTGGTCGTTTCGCGGTATGGCAGCGCAAAGTAGCACCCATTCTGAACTGATCTTTACCCCGTGTTTGCTGTCGTTTGTGGCCAATGAAGTGTCATGCCGAATTAAAATTTAATCGCGCAGCAAATGCAATGAGAGCCGCTCTGGCTGCCCGCTGCATACAGCCTATCCAGAACACGCTTTAATGGCGCCCTCTCGCGCCGTCGACACGGAGTGCGGCATTGAGCGCACTACTTCCCCTCTAGTTCACGGCCACTCTCAAGCAACCAAGGACGTCATGAGGGAGGTTATTTTTTGCTTATTTTTGTAATTTTAGTTTGCCTATAACTTTTAAAATAAATTGAATTTCGAGAAAAGAAAAGTTTCACTAAGTTACTACGTTCAGTGCGCTCAGGTTGGGTGCAAATTAAAAATAAGTAAAAAAAGTCATTGCAGGGCCCCTTTAATGTAGAGCGGGCATAATCAGTGGGAGATTTGAAAGGATCTTAATACATTTCTAAGGGACGAAAAAGCAATGATTTTTAAGCATAGCTTATTGAGCGGCTCTAGACTTAGCAACATTTTTTCTTTTACCCAGGTAAACTTTTTTCTATATTAATTTTTTTTTTATTTACATAATTTACACAAAATCGTTGCACCACCCCGATGCAACGATTTTGGGACTTTGGGCAATTAATTGCAGAAATTGTTCTATTTCACCTATAAAATGAAAAACAGAAAACTAATATTTCTTGCGCTAGCTTTTCTTAAAAAAGATTAAACAAGTTGAAGGTCGGGGTAGCCCCCAACCGACGCCGTCTTTCGAGTGAGGTGCACAGTGATGTCTCTCGGAGTACTACGTTCGGTTCTATCCGTTCCATTTTCGGGGACCCCAGCCCTCCCTCTGCGATTTTCGACTTTTCCAGGTTCAAGTTGAAGATCACGGCGAACGATGAAGACAATCTACTAGGTGGCGCAAGCTGCCGCCCGTTACAAAGGGTATAGCCATTACCATTTATCTATACGAAATAGATGTCAAATTAGTGTATTCCACTTCCAAATGACGTCACACCATAGTTCCAATAATCGCCACATGTGATGCAAGTCGGTAAAAAATATAATTATTTCCTTTGCGATCGATTAGGCTGAAAAATTTCAGTATTTCGGGGGATATTGGTGCGTTTTCTTTCACTTCTGACAATATAAACAGTATTAAAAGAATACAAGATGCACACACCTTCGGTGCCGCCGGACTGTACATTTAATTGGGGCAAATAAAAATAGTAATTCCCACGCGATTATTTGAATCTAAAGGAAACCATTTACTGTTAATCTCATCTTCTTTGAAAACTGCCCTTTTCTACACAAAATCTATCCATTGTTGAAACCTGACTAACGAGAATCGTATTGAGGAGCTGGCAACACTGGTGTCGAACGTGGCGACCGGTTTGTTGGTTGGTTGGTTATCTAACGTGTCCTGCGATCGTGACATTGCGCATCGACTTGTGCTCGCGTACACGATGCTTTCTTCGAAGATTGGAATTGCCCTGTGTTGTTTCCTCTTATCGTTCGTTCATTCTAGCTGGGGTCTCTACTTCCACATTTCCGAAACGGAACGGAAATGCTTCATCGAAGAAGTTCCCGAAGAGACACTGGTTGTTGGTAAGCATCGTGTTCGGTCTCGTTTGCCGACCGTGATAACCTGCTGTCGGCCGGAGGGATGGTGTTAGCGTGCATTATTTGAGCGTTTTGTTTGCTGTACTCCGGTGCGTAAAATTACGTTTGCTGTATAACAGTGAGCGGAGATGAGCGCAGAAGCGCCGAGCCCAGTCCGACACCTGCAATATGTTCCCCCGGGACGTAGTGGTGCTGCTAAGTAGTAGCTGAACCGCATACGTTCCACTTTATACAGGAGAGAAATTTCTCGTGTCATTATTTTTCATGTTTAGAGGAAACAAATGACACTCCTCACTACGTTTAACGAAACTGCCTTCTGGACTTTTCAAGTCTAGTTACGAGGGCACTGCATTCTACGGACAAACGTTTCGTGTTCCCTACGCGACGTTATTATCAACTGGATCTACATACTAGATGTCCGAGGGCATTCGACCGGAGGGATGATTAATGTTGCCGAGCAAAGCCATGCACTGCTGTAGGTCATTGTTTTGCTCTAGTGCTCCTCCAAGAGAGCAGACGCTCAATTCGGCCCATATGCGTCACTAGGATCGTCGTAAAGTGCCACCTATTGTGCTGAACGTGCTTTAGCAGTGTTAGATAGACGTATCTCTAGATTGTGCCAGGCTGTTCTCCTGTTCTATATCTCCCACATAGATATGTATATTGTGGTTATCTGGTAAAAAAAAAGCCTGTTGCCCCGCCCTTGTGCAGGAAACTACAAATGTCAGCTGTTTGACCCTAAGACAGGCGGCTTCATGGTGTCGAGCCCGGGCATTGGCATGCACGTCGAGATCCGGGACCCCGAGGATAAGACGATCCTCTCCAAGGTGTACAGCTCGGAGGGTCGCTTCAGCTTCACGTCCCACTCGCCGGGAGAGCACATCATTTGTCTCTACTCCAACTCTTCCAAGTGGTTCAGTGGAAGCCAACTGGTAAGATGCACTGCTGCCTTCAGGGCAGGAGGGTTCTTCTGTAATGGCAAACATTTTGTCCTCGAGTTACGCCTTGCGTGATTGCCGTTCTTTGTTACTGCAAATCTTTTGTTGTACTTCGGACGTAACTGACATATTGAGCTACCAAGCTCCCAGCTAAAGTACAACACACTGCAATCCACAAGGGTGTACTAGTGTAGCGTTGTGGCATTATGTACTGGGGCTAGGGTAATTCAAACAGAACACGGGGGTAGTCGAGGCTGGTAGGAAGGGCTTGACAACGAACCATCTGGTACACTCCATTTGACCTTGCAATGGACTGCAGTGGATGATCTATCGGAGTCAATGCAATGCCGGGTGAGTGTCACATGACTTTCGGGAAGGGTGCAGCAGTGGGGCACATAGTCACGTGATGTGTCCATAGCGTTACATTTGCTAGGACGGCTCGTATTGTCCACTGCAGTCCATCGTAAGGTGTAATGAGGTATACTCCCAGGGTGGCAGCTGATATTTCGCCGGGAAACTTAGTCCCGAAGAAGCCAAGTTTTGTAGCGAAATGCTGGCAGCTACACTGAGGCTACCAGACTGTTCCTTTTCAGGGACAAAAGTAAGGCACGCTTTTGCGTTGCTGAGGACACCAAACGGACTGTTTACTTAGACGAAAATACGCCATAACTCGGCGGTGAAAGCGACGTCGAGATCAAGTAAGAGTAAACATGCTTTGAAAGCTGCATGCGACCTCAAAGCAAATGGGGATCCTCGCACAAAGATGTTCAAGGGTCTATCAATTGTAATAGTACTTTCTGTTGTCACTTCCATCTTCAAACATTCACAGTCTTCGGCCTGCTTTTTTATCTGCGTAAGCTGATTTTGTTTTTTGACATACATAATGTGCACCAACTACGCGAGTTTTCCCCGCAACGGTCCTTGAGAAAGGACAGACTGTGTTTCGAAATGAGCTGCTAAAACCAATTCGTAGTTCGCGACTCAAACCTCCGAGCCCTTCTTGGCCGACCGCTTTGTGGCGAGACAGTGGGCAGGCCCGGCTTAACAGTCTGGGGCATTGCTCGCAGCGAGTGCACCTGGACATCCAAGTGGGCGAGCACGCCGTCGACTATGGCAGCGTGGCGCAGAAGGAGAAGTTGACGGAGCTTCAACTGAGGGTCCGACAGCTGCTGGACCAAGTGGAGCAGATCACCAAGGAGCAGAACTACCAGCGGGTGAGCGCGCAGTCCAGGTTTCCCAGAGCGCGTTTCAGACTGGTGTGTTTAGCGTCCAATCCCACCCATGCATTGAAAGTGGTCCCCAGACTTACGATGTCACAGGAGTGTCACGCTGTTGGAGGTCGCGATCCAGGTGGTTGCTCGTAGAAGTTCCGGCAATAATGACGAGTGAACACCAGCGTTGCCGTAGTCGCGACGCCCCAACTCGTTGCCGCGTACTGCCATGCTGAAAGTGAGCCGCAACAGAACGGCAGTCTGCCGTGTTCGCCTCCACTTGTGTGCCACTGCCAGGATTGTGGGAGGTGACAGCAAGACGCTTCTGCGATGTTGATGGGCAGAAATTGTACATTTGGGGACGCGGTGAACCAGTCGGAGACGTGCTCGAGGCACCGTAGTCCGGGCAAGTGGCCCTGCATGCCCGCCGAGCACCGGCCCTCAACCCCGTTTTCTTTGCAGTATCGGGAGGAGCGCTTCAGGCTGACGAGCGAAAGCACCAACTCGCGCGTGCTCTGGTGGTCGGTTGGCCAGACCATCATCCTCCTTCTCATGGGTTTCTGGCAAATGCGCCACCTCAAGAGCTTCTTCGAGGCAAAGAAATTGGTGTGAAAAAGAAGACCGAGAGAAGACTGTCCATACCTTTATTTTTCTTTTTTTTCTCAAGCAGTTCTTGACTTTCTCATTTGGTCTGTATGCATCTCAACGTGCAGTTTCTTATTTCTTTGAGGACGGTGGTTGTGTCTTTGAACATCAGCTGCATCCCGAGGACTGTGCCCTAGCTGGTGTGATTGAGTCAAGCGGCGATTTTCCCCACCGCTGCCGTTCTATTTACGATTCTGTGCACACTCAAATTTTGTGCTTGAGGCACGAGGAAGGTTTCTCTGATAGCTTTTGGGCTATTCGCGTAGGAATAAGGTTTCATGCGTGGAACCGTTTCTTATAAAAGTTTTTTAATTAATCGGTGGGGACTGGGTGCTGTAATTGCGAGAGAATGTTGTTGTGCGAATGAAGTTTCTTATTTTTGAAGTAATGCATTATGATGTTTCATTTGATAAGTAGTTGACCATGGTTTCTAAATTAGATTAGTGGAGCCCAGTTGATTACAGCGAAGATTAAAAGTCAGCATTCTGGCAGGCTAATGTAAAAAGAGTGACTGCTGTTTTTTTTTTTCCCAATGTATTTGAGTGTGTGCCACCCATTTAATCTTGTTTCAAGGTTGTGGTTTACTGGAAGCAGCATGAATGTGTGCCTGTGAAACGTTTGGTTTTATGCCCGCATGAAGCACTCCGAGCGGCAGAGCTGTTTCTCTCGGCTACAAGTTGCATGAGCCAATTGAAAGTGTCACTCGATTGCCTCGCGGAAGTTGAAACCGTCTGCTGCAGTTGGGGCTGTCTTTGGACGAGAGTTAAAAGTGGCGTACCAAATGCGTCCATTGGCATGTGCACTACCAGCTTAGTTGCAAAGCTGGGCTCTTCACAGCAAAAAAAGCCTTGCATTTAACAGGTTTGCCAAATTTTGTCACTTTTCACTTTTATTTTTTCAAACTGGGCACCTCTTTTTTAACATGTTGCTCGTGCGTGGCTATTGAACTTGCCGTTCGGTGTACATGCATAATTTTGCAGAGCTCGGGGTTGAGCCGTTTCTAGCAACTACTCTTCTTTCTTTCAATGCATTCTGAACGATGGCCTGTGTAGAAGCAAGCCTGCCAGATATGACCCAAGCAGTCTGGACTAAACATCCGGAGTGAATGTGAAAATAAAATTTGAAATAAATTGAGCATACAAATTTCAATTTTGCAGCTGTTTGTCAGTCTTGGTTGTAGTGAAAGAATTGAAACTTCAACTACTTTTCCACATTATTATATGCTGCAGCAACATTCAACAATGTTGCTGAAAATTTAGTTTTGTGCAACATATATACTTGTACTATTATGAATTCTATTTGAAAGTGATCAAATTGTACAACGCCCTCTTTCTAGCACCCATATTTTCGTTTCTCAGTAATGCTGTTCACTTCCGCTTTTCACGACTGCTAAATTGCATCTCTCATGCAGCTACTGCTAGAAGACGCAATTATGTGTGAAATGCTACTGGGTGATCTGTTCCTTGCCAAGTTCATTAGTTGCACGGGGGTCCTGTGAGTATCGTAGCTTAAAATAAATGCTGCAAAAGCATTGGCACTTGTGCCCTACAAATGCAATATATTTTTTTTTTCTGTGCATGAAATAAACAAAATTCTCAGAAACAGAGGAACGCTGCTTGGCAGTGCACCTTCGTGTACCATTTCAGTTTCCGAGTTGCAACGAAACGTTTGTGCTTCAACCAACTGGAACTCTTTCGTGTGATGAGTGTGTTGGCATAATTTGGGATTTTCTCTCGTAGTGTGTGTACCAGTTTTGACTGGCAAGGCATGTCTTATTGTTTCCAACAGCCATCCCACCCCTCCCAACCACGAGTCCGACTTGTGCCACTTTTGTGAACGGTTTTAAACTACGGGCGGAGAGTTTTAGATTTCCTGAGGGGGAATATTTAGCTACCACCTCCAGTCGGCGGGAGATATGCGCCTTGTTTGTGGGTTGTGGCCAGACAAAAATATGTATTTAGTACCACCAGCGTTCTGGTCAGTGCCAGCGATACCCCGCTTCCTGAGACATCACACGAGGGAGGCCATGCCCCCCACCACCACTACCCACCCTGAGAAACTTCAGAGGGGGCTGCAGCCCCCCTAGCTTCTGCAGTTGACTCCTGTGCTTTAAACCAACACCAAAAAGAGTACTTCACATAAAAATTGCTCCACTTTCTGGAATTTGATGTAGTGCTTATACACTTTAAAGGATGTCTCCACAAGGTGTTAACGTCATATTCCATTGCGAAATATATAAATATCTTTTATAAATGCTCTGCCCTAGTGAAAGTTACGGTGGACTGAAACTTTTAAGTGATTTTGTCCGAGTTTGATGCTTTGGAACATGAGGGGGGTGCCACCTTGTAAAGGGTTTTGGAATGTCAAGTTTAGGCAGCAGTGATGAACTCTACATCACTGGATTTGTATAAAATAGATCTACCCGGGGATGCTATTTGTTTTGCTCAATCATTATTCAGAGTGCAACTAATAATTTCAGAGAAAGGAATGTGAAACTGGAAGTTTACAATAGTGTCACTGGCTGAAGAAAGTCTTTGGCATCATTGTTGTATCTTCTGTTTGTCACTGCGGACGAAATATTGCTCCTGAAAGTCTGAACATATTGATGTTTTCAAAAGTTCCAGATAATGCCGTTCTCTAATTACAGACCTGGAATTGGCACTTGAAAATACACTCCTGTCAGTTGTGTTGAAGTCAGGTGCTGAGCATGGTAAAAGTTTCAATCCCTCGGTGGGACATTGTTTCCAGCCCCACATAGGGCCTTTTAGGTGTGCAAGATTCTTTTGTTAGCGTTAGCATGGGAAAGCTCCATCAACATCCTTTGAGAGGCCATTCCATGGAAAATCGAACAATACACAACCACTTCTTTAGACATGACATTGAGTTGTACTGAGAGACAAGGTGCCACTTGCCTCGGGGATAGAGCTGGTATTTTGTGTGCAACGTGTCGTCTGTATGTTTGAGAAAGCTCCATCGACGATCGCTGGCTATTTCTAGGTGCAACTGCACTCCGCGTGTACAGTGAGCTTTGCCACTGCTGTAAAACATGAGAAAACACCCTGCAGCATGTATGGAGATGTAATCTGTACAACCTGCACCACTCCCACAAGCCTGCACTGACCCAAGCCCAAAGTACCAGGGAGCGTGAGAAAAACTATGAGAAAGCCGCTTCACATCTCTGTAGAAAGGAAACAAAAAGTAGGAAGTTCAAAATGCTGCAGAAATCTTACCCCCAGTACAAATTGAGCCTTGTGTCACCTCCTCATCTGTCTGTTGCAAGCAGTGCTGGTGTCTTGTTTTTTTTTTTTTTTTTTTTTTTTTTTCAGCTTGTCCAGTGTCATTTTGTGATGCTAACCTAATGAGGTGAATTTTGAGAGAAAAATGATTTGGAAGTTTGGTATCCCCCTTTCCTTGGAAAGTACCTATGGCGAAATGGTGCTTCAAGTAGTGTACAGATTCTGAAATGTTGCTGGAGGTACTGAGGGAATGTACAAAAGTAATGTCTTCAAGTATTCTCACAAAGTATGGCATATTTATTGATGACATTAACATGCAGCCATCAGAAAATTTAGTAGTTTTAGTGCTGAATTGAATTCTTGGGGAAGCTAACTTAGATTTTGCAAGCATTGCTTAAGCGCGCGACATGGAGTGGAGTTGATTCCCTGCCAAACACACGCATCGCATATTCGCACACACAAAAAGAACACCAAATCGGAATTTAAAAAAGCGGGGTGGCCCCTACCAGGATGGACATTGAACTCTCATTCTGATTAGCCCGCCAGGGTCATAGCTTCCGCTGTCCTGGCACGTTATGCGATCACGGCTTCCTGGCCTACCCAGTATTTCTTGCTTCAGACACTAGGCTAAGCGGCGCCACCAGAGTGCCCGATGCATTCAAGTTGGAACTCAAAAGAAAACTCAAATGAAGATTTTTAACTAACTAGAAACATCAAGCTGTTTTTGTCCTAGTATGGTGGGGATTACAGCAATAAAAAGTTTAAACTGTTCTTTATACTAGTAGTAATTCTTTCTCCCACATTGTTATCAGTGATGGGGCGAATTGATCAATCAATCTGCCATGTTGAAAATGAAAAATACATCTATACGTCAAATACATCGTTTTCACCTCAAGACAAAGGGAAGTTTTGCACATTGTTCATACACCGCGTGAAGTAGTTCTTGCAAAATTTGGTTGTCGGAGGAAGCAATGCTTTTGGCATTAGAAACATGTACGTCTTGATAAGATAATGCATATATGTATAATCTAAAATGCACCTAGGTATATCTCAATTTTCCACCTAATAGGGGAAATTAGTAATGCTCTGTGAGAAGCAGGACTTTTTTTTACTAAGGTTTTTGAGGTGAAAATAAGTAGGGTGGTGAAGAAGCACTATTTTCTAGCTACACTGATTTAAATAAAATAAATCTGATTTATTCAATTAAGAAAAAAGATTTTTTTCCACTTTGGCCATTTGCGTGCTTCACTCCGTCACCGACTGGCTCGAGGGGGTCGTGGCATTTCAAGTTATGCCAAAACTATATAAACCTTTCCATAAAAATGTCCCAGGGTACCTTCATTGCTACATAGAAAATTTCACAGAAGCAGTTTTTGGCTGGCTGCAGTTACGAGTGTGTGCTGGCAGAACTAATTAAGATCCAGCACGTGTGGACCGATTTTTGTACAGGGTGAAATTGCCTCTAGGGCAGTTTCACTTCCGGTAAGCACTGTTCTGCCATGTTGATGAACAGTTCCCGCTGCTTTCCCCATTTCTTTGCATGCAGACGATCGATCATTGGCGTTGTTTTTTGGTGTTGATAAGTAATGCAGAATCCTGGTGAGCGACTCTGTCGACGACAGAGGTTGATATGTTCGACCAGAGATGGTGAGCAGCATAAGCTCTTGCTTACTATGCTTTCCTTCTTTTCGGAGTCATGCCGGCGGCATCTATTTTTATTACCACGAGATTTAATTTGTTTCTCGGAGAACCAGCTAAAATACTGTTAGCACTGTCACTAGGGTCAGCTGCACCCGGGGCGGTCCGCCTCCCCCGCCCTCCCTAGTGATGTCACTGACTGTTAGCACATGGTTCATCTGCTAATGAAAGCAAAGAACAGGGTTTGTCTGTTACAAAGCATCATTCGCAAACAAAAATTAAAAAAAAAAAAAAAACTAGTAAAAAAAGTGGATTGTCTGCTATGAATTGAGTGCCACAACGAAGTGATATCAGAAACAGGCTGAAATTGTGACCATCTGCTATTTCACAGTGGAAGGGATTGACAGCCAGTGCTTGCTTTACTTATTTAAGTTGTTCTGCTGCCATCCACAAGCTGACATTTACAGGTTAATGAAGGAGCACTCCGCACAAGCACATCGGAGGCCGCGAGACCTCTCTAACCATGTGTGTTTTGGTGAGAAGTGCTCCTTAAAATACTGCCCCATTGTGAACTCACGAACGGGTCACAACTTTTACAGCGATAGCTTTCGTGGGCTCTTCCCACCACTGGAAATGACGTCCATTGTAGTTGAGGTTGTAGTTGTCGTAGCAGGGCGTAGGCGTAGGGCGTCCAACGTCGACGTTGCCAAATCCTTCAAGAAGATTGCCCGCCTCCCGCAGGATTCGACCCTGTGTCTGCTGCATGCGCATATCACTTAGCTATGCCACAGCTTTGACTAGGTTGCCTCAATGTCCTTCTGTTTAGGGTGATGGCATTCTTTGTGGTACTAGCACCCGATGCTGACTGCACATGCTCTCTGGAAGAATAGAAAACAGACGAAAACAAAATGCTGCCATAGCACTGTCAGTGCTGAGCTTCGTGCTTTCACACGCTTCGAAACAAAAAAAGAAACAAAGGCGTTCGAAACAAATCGGCAAAATGCCATTTTATTCCTAACGCTTTTGTTCACACACCGTCAGGTGTGTGAACGTGACGCCGATGCCAAACGACTTCGCCGCGACATGTCGCAGCAATAGCTGCGACATGTCACGGCGAAGTCGTGACACGGACTGTACTTTGGTTTACCAGAGGACAGCTCATTTTTTTTCATTAGATGATAATGTGCAATAAACAGAAAGCTGTGGCACCATATCTAGTACTCAGCATCCAAGAAAGATATCAATCGCATCCCCGACCAAACCCCAGGGCCACTTGGGCCGCCAACGGGTTGACCTCTCGAGTGGCGGCTCATCTGCACTTCGACTAAAGGCTGGTACGTATAAAAATCCAGTACCGGATGATGCTTTCTTGTGTCGCCCACTACTTTGGCGAACACAATCGGTCACGACGCAATGTAACTCGAGCAAACTGGAAAACACCACCACTATGCATAAAAAGACAGGGTGAAACTTGGTCCATAGGGTATACGGCAAGATTTCAAATCGTAAATATGAGACTTGAAATCACCTTATAGGGGCGCATGTTATACAGCGGAAACTACGGGGCGCATGTTATACAGCGGAAACTACGGTAGGCGCCAAGTTGCACAAACAAAAGGAAGACTTCCCCTACAATGGTGATTCTGAAAAACGACGCTGCACAGGCACCACAGTTTATTGACGTGTACATTCATTTGGGCTTGGTTTCCTGGTCGGTGACCCGGCGGACAAAGATGGCATCTGGGGGAATGACCTCAACGTCGTCTTCCTCGTAGAGGAACGACGAGCCAATGGCGAGCAGCGAGCCGTCGTGGCTGAAGGCGAGGGCCGCAATGCTCGAGGGGTATTTGTGGAACTGACACAGGCGCTTCTTGTTGAAGCCGTCCCAGATGTTGACGTGGCCGTCGCTGCCGCCCGTCGCAAACGTGTTGTACAGGTTGTGAAAGGCAATGGCGTTGACCGGGTAGATCAACTCGATGCCCGCACTGTCCTTGGTCCGGTGGCACTTGAAAGCGTATTTCTTCTTTTGCACCTCGGCGCTTGGATCCAGGTACTCCACTGCCACGCGACCTGCAAGAAATGCAGCCACGTGTTTGGGCACGCTTGTTCAGTCGGTGAAATTCAGGGTCGAATTTCACTCGCTTCATATCCTGGAGGGGGACACCAGAGAGCTGGCACATGAGGGTTGAGGAGCCATAAACACAATTTCTACTGAAATTTTTCGAGAATAAAGGAGCGGACCATTTGCTTTTCTTCAGAAAAGCCCGTCAACTTTGCCACAATCTCCCCAGTTCCAAATGGTGCCATGCACCTCAAGGTAGAATGCAGCTCGCAGACCAAACACGGGCACCGCATTGCCGGTCGGCTTGAAATTGGTAACACTCGATGCATCAATGAATATTCGAGGGTCACAGACAACCCCAACATCAATACATTTCTTTATGGTCTCGGATGCTTCAAAAACAAATCATATAACAGTAAAAAAAAAAAAAAAAAAATTGGCAGTTTGATACTTTAGTTTTATGTTCCAGAGAAGAAAAACCAGCTGTTGGATAGCAAACAAAAGCATATTTTTAGCGTAAGGCTCGTCAGAATATTGGGCGCTGGAGAAAATCGGCCATCTATGTCAAGTCTTTACTTTAAAGCTTTTTTTTGTTCACAATTCGCTCACTGAAAAGTACAGCAAAAGAGCCTAAGCATGCACCTGATCTCGCCACACCACCATCTCCTTCGGCACATTAAAGTCCATCTGCTATGGTCACGGAATGTCAACAGGCGTGCACACGAACGCGGCATCTGAAGACAGCTACAGCCATGCCCTCTTTCGAGTGCCATCTGCTACCGCCGCGGCAACACTAGCTTGGGTTCCAAGGCCAAACAGACTGCGCTGTGTGCAGTCACGCCTCGCTTCACTCGAACACACTTTAAGACAATCTCGGGCCTGAGTGCATCAAGCCTTGCCAGAACTGCCAAGGGTTCGCCAGGCGGCCGCTTTCTGCTCCCAGCTTCGACCTCCACAATGGTGCACAACTTTGGCCAGTGTTGCTGCTTTCACATTAGCAGACAACATTTGGAAGTGGGAGTCTGCATTGCTGGCTTCAGACACCACACTTGCATGTTCCTCCATAAAAAAAGATGTTTCGCTGCCATGGTGATACTGACCATAGCAGACGGACTTTAAGATGGCAAGATCAGTTGCATACTTGGGCCATTTTGCCGTGATTTTCAATGGGCGGAATGTGAGCAGAAAGAGTTTGAAATAAAGACTTAACGCGGATGGACAATTTTCTGTAGCGCCTATAATATTTTGACGAGACTTACATGAAAAGTATGTTTTTAAGCTCACAATTTGGATCAACTTTCTTGTACTGCAACATGGGGCTAAACTACTGCTGTGCCAAAATTTTATTGGACGAAAAATAATTTTTAGTGTGCGAAACAGTCGGTCAAAGATCTGTGCCCTCCTTCCCCAAACCAGGGGGGAGGATGCAGATCCTCGCTTCTTTTTTTATGACGTAGACGCCGAAGGCATCTTTAAGAAATTTAGAGAAGGTGAGAGTCACATGTCTATAACAATTACTAATGACGTTCAAGAAACATGTTTTCCGCAACCAATTATAATTGCACTATGTCACTCATTTTGAAATATAAAAACTCGGAGCCCGAAAGTGTTAGTGACCAGGCATTGGCCGTCTCCTGGCTTTCTTCTTATTGTAAACATGGTGGAGCTCGGCGGCTGGGCTGAGGGCATAGAGAGGGCTGAAGATAATAGAAATGTCAACAAAACCTCAGACAAGCTTTTTCTTTTTTTTTTTTTTTATGTCGAATAACTTTTTGAATTTCAGGAGAGCATTAGTCGAGAGATCAAGATCAGGTCGAGAGATCAAGTCTGCAACATGTCCTTTTTCTCTTTACCTATTTAAAAAGTGTTTGAGACCCTTTGAGTAGACTGCAAAAAAAGAAAATAGAACTAAAAGTGCTGTGGCATCAGCACACGGAGAAAGGCCCCATGGCAAGCGCAGAGCGAAGTATGTAGGCGCTGATTGACCGTCTGGCAGATGCAAACGCTAGTGATTGCCGCAATCTATAAAAAGGAAAATGAGAAAGTTAAACGACACTTCCTGCCGGAGTGCATCATTTCGCCTGCTAGTATGTCATAGATTTGGGCGAGAGTTCGAAAATATTTTTCTTCCTTGCATATATGCAGTTCCCAATCGTTTACAACAATAACAAAAAATAAATATTGATGCTGGGTTTGTCAGAGGCCCTTTAAGATTTCTGTACATGACCAATTAATGTGGCGATGGAAACAGCTACACTAATAATGTCTAGAACACTGCAGATAATCTGAGCACTAGCAATCCAGGCACAAGGTTGTGATGAATATTGCAGCACAGCTGTCAAAAAAAACCATCAGCTTTTAAAGAAACATTGAAGTAAGAAAAGATAATTTTGAAGTGTTTAGATGGAACACGACGTACAACACAATGAATTTTTCATGAAAAAAAAAATTGACGTGCCTAAATGACACATATACATTGCAAAATAAATTTTTAATGAAAGAAAAAAAAAATTAAAAAGGTTGTGCGACAATTTTTGGACTCCAGTTAAATAGCTGTGTGAGTTGTTCCCTGTCATGTCTTGAGTAAAGAACTGAAAGCCAATTTTGCTTGCGGGCATTAATTTGTTTTTAATAAATGGTCCAAAAATTGAAGTTTTGGGCACCTCCCAACCTTTCTCAACTTGTACACCGTTTTCTGAGTCACGTGCACAGTGACGTGTAGCAGGATGCACTGGGGACAGAGTATCCGTTTCAGAGCCTCCAGCGGCGAAGTGCACGCTGTCTCTGCTTACGATTTAGATGGCGACCTTGAGGGTTGGTCTGAGCCACTGATCTCTATGACAATTTGCTGGAGCGCTGGATCTCTGCTTTGAGCCCAGTCTGGGCAAGCGAGAAGATCCGAGGCACAGGCGTTCCGAGAAATCGTCCCAATCATGGCATGGCAAGTCTGATAATGGGAATTCAGACGCCGACATGAGCAAGCCGTTTACTCAAAGGAGACCTAAGAAGAGGAGGCTGTGCAGTGTCAGTGACTTCCAATCTGGCCCGGACTCCTTCAATGGACAACATTACAAGAGGCTTAAGAGGTGCAACTCCAGAAAGAGAAAGCTGTCGTCTGGGCTGGGAGACACAAATTGCGAAGATAACCACCCCAAGAAAGCATCATCTGACCGTGGCTGGAAGAGCAAGGACCACAGCAGTGACACTAGGGAGCCAAAGCTGAACAAGCAAAAAGGTCCAAGACAGTGGCGCTCGAGGAGGCGGCTCTGGGTCTTCCGTTCTGGTCCAAAGGCTTCCGATGAACACCGTGACCAAACGTTCAGCCATGCAACTCCAGAAAGCTCTCTTCAGGGCTGGGGGAAAGCAAAAGCCACGGCACCTATCCCAAGGAGCAGTCCATCAGAGGCAGTACGAGCAACAGGTCTGGAGGGAACAGCAGTGAACGCATGCGGGATGAAGAAACTTCGACACAGAGCCTCTTTGACGAGAAACACAGGAGCTACAAGGAGTCATCCATCGTGAAGTCGGGAGACAAGCTGCCAAACATGTCTCAGGCTTCTGCTGCAAGAAGGGAACATAATCGACGGAATGCAGGAGCATTGCCTGATAAGTCTTCAATCTCGTCCAAGTACCTCGAGACCCATGAGCATGTACCCAACTTGCAGCTGGTGCTTCATTCCGCGATAAAGACAGATGCAAAAATCAAGTCAGAACTTTCCGACTGTGACTTCAAGCGGACTGTCGAGTCTAGGGACCAGGGCTGTTCTAGTGAGAGTGGCACCAAGAACAGACTGGGTGTAGGTCGGAGGGCAAGGTTCTCGCCGGCGAGAAATTTCAGAAAGGAGCGGAAGAGGCAGAGGCCGCCAGAAAAGGGGAAAGCTTAATTTTAATGTCTTTTCCTGGAGTCGGCTTAGCCAGGGGTATGAATAGGTTTTCTTTTCATGGGAGTCCAATTTTATTGCGTTTCGTTGAGCTGCAGTGCGTTGTGTTAGCAAGCGCTAAAGTGTATCTCGCATCACGGTAGAAAGCCTTCGGGGCGAAGTAGAAAGGAGCACAGCTAAATGGGAATGCTGATGGCCTACACTGGAACTTCGAAGACATGAGCGAGCTCCATAATCGGATGGTACAAATTTATAAAGTTTTTTTGTTCGTTTCCAATCCTTGGAAATTATGATTTTGATTTTGTGATTGTGTTTTTATTTCGAAGCACGCTACCCTAACATTGTTTTGTATTTCCTGTATTAAAGAGCTTAGCGACAGCCTGAGCTTTGCCTCTCGAGTGAGGGAGAATTTTGGTAGTAGGTGGAGGGTTGTCTTTAATGTTATTTGGTCTAGTGGATCGGGGGAGAAAAGCGAAGCACCTGTCGGTGCTGGGATCGTGGCTTGCTATGTTTGTCCCGCCCTCTTGTGACCGGAGCTGAGGTCTCCCCTCCCCCCTCCAGAGATTTTAAAATCGGCCCTCGCCTATGTCACCAGGCAGGTGGCGAACACCGGACCCTCTCCCAAGAAAGCAAGACACTCATCAAGTCAGCACAGTAGTGTTGGACTGCAGCCCTTCTGATGAGCTCAGTGGCGGCGGAGGTGTTGTTGCGATGGGCTTTGGTCAAGGTCATGTTCCTTCCTTCATCCCCCTTCTTACCCCACAGCGGGGGTGTGCCGTCCCATTATAAGTGGGCAGTCAATGACCGGTAACCTCGCCCAGCGCCGTGTTGACGTCGCAACGCCTGGACGAAAAGTTGACACCTAATTACGAAAGGGTGAGCGGAGACCTCGACGGTGGATTACCGGACGAAGGTTCTGAGCAACGGAGCCAAATGCGGGGATCAGACCTCAGACAAAAGGGACAGGGCAAGCTTCCGATGTGGACTTCTCCGAAGGTTGACCATTTCTCAAACAGGTCAGATAATTGTCCGCCGCCACCCGCTGATTATCCGGCCGAATACCTTTCTGAGCCACGGCGTCGCCCATTGAAGGGAGCCATTACAATCCGTCTGCTGCGACATTGTGT